AGTAAGCTTAATAGTGCCGTTGTTGCGGTAGTGAGGCGGTTCTTTTAATAATGATTTAAGCAAATTTTTAGATAGCTGAATCACTGGTAACATTCGGAATTGCGGAAAATAGCTGTGATCTTATTGTCGGTATTTTCAATGATGAGAGTGGCGAAAAAATGATAGAACTGGCAAAACGGATTGATGGAGTTCCAGTTTCTCTCAGTCAGTTACCAGAGTTGGCCAACTACCAGTTAATTAAAAAAGTAATTTTGTTTTTTTTTTTTTCTACATTTTTATATTTGTCGTTTTATAAACTGAAACAGATGTCAGTTTAATTAGTAATGTCTTCTATTACGTTTTTTAGTTAGAGTTATTTTCATTGTTTTTATAGGTATATCATGTGTCAGAACCCGAATTTAATGAGGAGACTATCAGCGACTCAATTATTAGTAGGATAGTTACCAAAGATTTTATGAGTTAAATCAGATTCACTTATATTTTTGCTAGAAAATTTTGTCATTAGTCTATTCAAGTGATCTAGTCATTGTTGTCACAAAGTTAGTTTCTAGAACTTTTTAGTGCGGAAATGTTTATGTGAACTTCTTTTTTTCTGCATTTGTTATATTCGGGCCTTATCTTGGTGTCAAGTTTCCAGAAATGGTTTTTTTGAGACAGAATATATTCAGAGGTGGTTGAAATTCCAAATGGGTGTTTTTTTTTTTCGGATTGCTTGGATGTTAAAAATTTTGAGTATGATGTAAGCTTGGGAACTCCGGTTAATTGATCATCGTAAAATTATATGTTAAAATATGAGTTACCTTCTGTGAATTTGCGATATTTTTTTGATCTTTCTTGTATACCGACTGGATTGTTCATTGTACTATTTGATTACTTCGCGGTCTAAAGTTAATTACTTAACGAGTCAGTTTTTTTTTCGAAAAATTCAAGGTGGTTTGAAGTTATCTGAATAAGATTAATGCCTGGTTGTGTAAAAGTAGGAAAAAAAGTAGCTTTTTAGTGTATCTAACAGAGTCAGCTTTTTTTTTAAATACTGTGGACGAAGTCTTTACGGAAAGTGCAATTATTGTAGTGGAGCAGATGTCGGATATTGAATTTGCTGTTTTCCGGTTGGAAAACATAACTTAAAAATTTTGGCATGGCGTCAGTATTTCTCTGCGCATGGATTATTTGCTGTAAAACTCAAAAACATTTTATGGTATCTGTCTGTTTTTTGATACAGCGAAAGTTGTTTATTGATTAAGGTTTTTTGTTTTGATATGTTGATTGTTTGATATTTAGTTAAAGGGATTTCCTGAACATTATATATCTGCCAATTAAAAGATATGTACAACTTTTTTTTCTTGTCTGTTTTTCTTTGTTTGATACTTGTCAAATGATTTTTCAATCACTGAGCTCGTTCTATTTTTAGCAGTGCTTTTTATTATCAAAAAATATTGTATGGTGACAAAAGTTTAACTGAGAGGTAATAGTGAAGGAAAGTTTCAACGTTTTTGACTACAGAACTATTTTAGTACCCTGTTTTTGTGCTGCACTGTATTTTTTTTGCTTGTCGTTACATTTGTTGCGAATGATATTATTAATGTTATTTTATTGTGACTATTGTGTTTGTTATTGGTATTTATTGGAAGATATTATAAAGTAATTATTTTCCTGATTTTAACAAATTTTCGCTGGCAAGTTTATATTTTAGTGGCCAGAAGTGGTCTCGCATTAGAGAAAATAACAATCTGAGAAAATATGGGTTACTTTTTAAGAAAAGCAAAGTAATCTTTTCTTGAGCTTCGGATTCGTTAAAATGGCAAAGCTTAGACAACGTATTTTTGGTTTTGGAAGCGGAATTGAGGAAGAACGAGAAGAGAGGGACAAGAAGTGGAGGGAAAATTTCCAGTTTTGTAATTTCTCAGTTTAATTGAGATCTTGACATTAATAGAGTTGTTATCAAAGCAACGACGACGACAACAGTTCAACTGCGACTGAAGAAACTGTTATTGATTTTACATTGGCCAATAATGCGACTTTCAAGTACAAAAAGAAATTGATTTTTGCTTTTTTCTTTGGGAATTTTGAAATCACCTCAACTATACCTTTGCTGTTGTTGATGTAATGGAAAAGGGGAGCAAGTTCAGTTGGAAGCTGTCACAAGTAATAATTTAATTCAATTAAAAATTGAATTACAGCATCGTACATTTGATTTTTTGCGAAAAAATGGTCAGTTATAAGTTATAATTTTTGGTGTTTGCAGCTTTTGTCATATATGATCGATGCACACTTCAAGCTGAAGGCAATTAGAAACTCAGTTAAAACACAATTTAATTCAGTGATTTGAATATAAACTTCAGATTACAGGCAATAATTTTTTGCAAATAGAAACTAAAAAAATGTAATAAGATAATTACAGCTTTCACCGTACCAAAAACTTCCGAAGAAAAGTTCTAAAAGAAACAAGTTGTAGATCTGAAAATTTTAAAACATTTTTAGAAAAAAGAAGAAGTTTAATACGTAGAGGGAATAACAAGTAATGAAACTACGTTACAAAATTGCGGTCACAGGTATCCCGTGTTCAGTAGTTGCCTACAAGTGAAAAAGGCATCTGAAAATAGACAAAGTGCTAAGGCAATGACAAAAAAGGATCGCATTGCACGCATTCATTCTACTCCTTCAACTAAATACCACGTTTTGAACAGTTTGTCGCATCCGGTCCTAAAATTTACAATCACTTTACAACACAAGAAAATTCAGCAGAAGCTCACCAAGCGTACTTTTGGAACAGTGAGTGATAAAAAAAGTCAAAAAGTAACCTTCTGTCTCTGCGGTAACAGGGTTGTCTTGAGTAGCATTGTTTTGCAAATGCACCCGATGACCGCTGAAATTATTCCGCTTCGGTCTCCGATTTTCTTCTAAAGCTCTCTTTCCAGCAAGCATTGATTAGCCCTTCTCAATTCGTCTATGTCTCGCTGTAACTTACGACACTTCACCCGTTCACGAAACAATTCCTTTTCAATTTCATCTACCTGTCGCCGCAGATGAATTGCACAAACATTAGCCCTGAGCGCCTAAAAAAACAACTTTTTTACAGTCGCTTAATAATCAAGTCACTGTCACTAAGCTTTCTTTTAGTTTTCTTCAAAATTTCGTTGAATTTTTTTGAAACTCGGTCATTAATGAAAAAGAAGAATTAGCGAATTCATCTAAGCCGAAATATTCACTTAAAAATACGTATTTTCTCTTTTCTGCGCTTCCTCACTACACTGTTCTTCCGAAAACAAGAGAGAAGAAAAGTAACTATAAATCGAACACTTCAGTAGTCACCCTGCTTTCCGCCTAATTATTCCTCCAAAACTACAATTTTAGCTTTTAATCTTCTTTTCTCCCTACCACCCATACCACTCCCCGTACCTCGCATTTCCTCAAGTTCGTCTTTTTCCGCCTTCAATTGTCTTTGTAAGTCCTCAATCACCTTGGTAAGACGCCCATCTTTTGATTCCATAGACAGAATCCTTTGAAAAAATTTTAGATTATTACATCCTCGCTAATCTCGAAAACCCAGAGTGAACGAAATTTCACAAAAAGACGTTCACCAAATTAACACAAAAAAATCTAGATATACCTCCACTTGGTATTCCTCAATGTTGTGCCTAATTCCTCTTTGGCTTGCCGTGCATCTTGTCCGTCATGCTGCAGCTCTTTTTTCGTCTGCTGAAGCGCTCTCAACTTCCCGTAGTAATTTTCCTTTGACCAATTAGCCACACGCAACTGCTGGTCAAGTTCATTCACTTACAATTCCATTTTCTTTTCTTGAGAGACAGCATCACTTTGAGATGGACGTCCAGGCAACTGAAATTTCTCTTCCAACCATTCTGCATGCTCTTCGCTTACTTCCACCTCAATCGACACCTCTTTTGCAGCTAAATTCCTCTGGAATTGCTTACTCAGCTTCTCCAGTTGCTGCGTAGATCTCTCATTCGACTTTTCAAGAATTTTCCTTTCTACTGTAGGTTACTCAAGTCTTATTTTAAAACAACACAACTGAACTAGAGTCTTATAACAATGGAAAATTGTCGTACTTGTCAGGGACAACATTAGAAAGACCAATATTCAAAATAATGAGTTACGTAAAACTTCAAGGTAGGTTTATTTCAAATCCGAATCTCTCTCTAGACTTAAAAAACTCGGTAAGCTCTTTTTCAAGGTGGCCTACACGAGTTTGCGTTACGAGCTTATGCTTTATTCCGCTTTGAAGCTGACGCTTTACATTCTCGAGGACCTGCTCCGAGAACAAAGTCCACTCCATCAAAGTTGAAACAATTCAACCGCAAACTTTCTTCTGTTTCGCTACCAATTAGAATTCATTTTTTTGTATAAGAAGGAGTTCAGGCAGTCACTAATATTTCCTAGGAAGCGTCAGCTAAGAGCAATATTTGTTGCTATTTCTTCAATTTGAACAATGAAAAGCGGAAACTGCTATTCGTATTATAGGCCTGAAGTAGCCGTAGCAAAAGTGCAGTTAGAAAAAGGAAGTCAAAATTACAGCAAGTTTATCAAAGCTTGCAAACAACGAAGCTTACAGAAAAAAGATCTATTTCTTTACAAATTAAATTTTTTCACCTTGTATTTTAAATGGGAACTAAACTGCAAGCTCGAAGGTACACTAGTATAACCCGACTACATGTGCGAATAGAAGCAATTTAAAAATACCATTATCGTAATATTTGATTTAATGAACACCCAGATTATTTATTTTCTATTACTTTCGTTCTTGTTTAGCTCAAGCGTCGTTTTCCATTCCGCCCGAACTCCTCTTTCCCTTTTTTCCTCATGTGCCGTCTTTCCTGTCTCACACCACCAGTTCCTGAATATTTGCTGCTTATCTCTCTTTCTTCTCCTCCATAATCATTCTTCGTTCCTTTTTTTACTGCAGAATTAATTACTTTTGTCTTATACTGTCAAATTCAAAAGACGTATATTTTTCTTTTTAAATTATTTAATTTGATTTTGGTGCTCTTTCGATTGTTTTTATTACCTATCTTCAAAAAAGTTTTTCTTTTTTCTAATTTGAGGTGTAAACTATCTTCTCAGTCGTCTTTTTTAATTATTTAGAAGAAGAATTGGAAGTAGCAGAAGAAAGGTCAAAGGAAAAAAATATATATTTTAGACTTTTGATAATGGCAACGACTTAACACGGAAGACGTTTGTGCAAAAAAGGAAGACGAATCGAGAACAAAACGGAACTGGAGAAAATCTAAAAGGTGCGCTAAACTTGTTTGAAAAAGAATGGAGTTAATCACTCTACTTTAGGATTCAATGTAGATTAATATTATTTCTATTTAACCATTGCAGTTTTTCTACTAAAAATAAGTAAGTGGCAAAAAAAATTAGAAACCTTTTGTAAATTTTAATTCTATTTTTGGTTTGTTTTATCACAAATGATAGATTATACGAGAGAAAGTGGAAAGTGGGAACAGTTTTAAACGAAATTGGATGTATTCACTGAACTCGATAATTAAAGACAAAAGGGTCAAATATTAGTAAGATCAACAAAAATCTGCTTAATTGATTTAGCTTTTTCAAACTCTAGAATTTTTGCAATATCATTCTGGTGTTATTGCCTTAAACTTTTTTGGGGTTTATATTTTTTTTATTCTAGCCTGAATTCTTGCTGACTCTAATTTAAACACAAGAAGGGCAAAGAATAGTTTGATAGGTATCTTTTGTTGATAAATAGAAACTGCACCAATTGAACTGTTCTATTTAAAATACCATTAAAACAGCATTTTTTTATCTGGCAGCAGTCACTACCTTAGCAGATTTACTGGAAGTGATACCGTGTAAATAATAATGGCTTAATGAATAGTTAAACAGCAGTATGAAACGTTTAGATTACCAAAAATTCTGTTGTACAAGAAGAGACAAAAATGTTCAGTGTTAGATATTCCAAAAAAATTCAAAATTTTATTCGTCTATTCAATCGCTAATTAAAACTTTAAGACTGATTTTAGAAAAATGAAAACAAAAAACAGGAAAAAGCTACTTGGAGACATTACTGAAAAGGCATTAGGTAGATCTACTGCCGAAACAACGACGAGTTATAGACTAAAAGATTCTGATACTTATTGGCATATGGTAAACCATTATTTGAAAATTTTTTTCCACAGTTATGTTTTTTTGCTTGTGTTTCACCTTAGAAATGAAGTCTGATGAAGTTTTCTTAAACTGTCTTTACTGCTGTTAAAGTCTTGGTCATATTTTCACAGTGTTTGTTTCACAATAAAACTTTATACCTGTAATTATACTTGTAATAACCTTTATTCTTCGTTGTTGGTTAACGTTCTTCAGTTGTACGGTCAATTTTCCTTTCAGTAGTAAACAATGAATATGTGTGAAAATTTAGGCTACTGTTATCTAAAAATGAACTACTAGGTAAATTTTGTTTTGGTGCAGACATATGTAAAAACTGATATGAAGGACAAATAGCAGTTATACTTTGTAGACGCGATCTCCTTGACGTTCTGGCAAAGGTTTCGTTTTTATGACGGTGTCTTCTGCAGTCGTCTTGTCCAGGACACAGTCATTAGCGGTAGCAGTATCTAGAATGCCAACAGCATCCTAATAAGGAGACACAAAGACACAAGGACACAGTTGTCTGTTATTTTTGTTGTATTTGTTCAAACTGCTTTTGCAGTTTATTCACAAACTTTCGTTTACACTGAGCAAGTGATTATTTGAGAGAAAAAAACACGTCGATAGTTAGTGTTGTCTACTTGTTATTCTACATCATCTTTTTCTTCAAAAGCTTCAAATCAACATGCTGATACTGAATTTTACTTATTACGCAGGAAAAATCAAAAAAATTTTTTTTGGAACCTGGTCAACAATGAAAAAGAATAAACTCACTTGAACTGAAACATTCACCTGACAAGACATATTTGCTCTTTCCTGCGCTTCCGCATTATACTATTCTTGTAAGAATTGAAAAGAATAGAACTAACCTGTAATTAAGCTTTCCAACAGTCGCTCTGCTTTTCTCTCAATACTTTTTTCGAAGCTGCAATTTTAGTTTTACATCTTCTTTTTTCACCTCTTAATTCTTCAAGTTTGTCTTTTTCTACTTTCAGCTGCCTTTGTAGGCCCTCATTCACTTTGGCAAGACGTGCATTTTCCTATCCCATAAATAAAATTCTTTAAAAAACCTTTAAAAAACTTTGAAGCCTTGTTAGACCCAGCTTTCTTTCAGGAGTAAATCCCGAACAGCAGTAATCTTTGGTCTGCATCCTTTGTCATAATTTAGTCCAGAATCACAGTGACATTTCATAAAAGTTTTAAAAAACCGCTTCTGTCAAATTAGAATGGCAGCGATCGGTGTGATAGATGAGAAATTGAACACAATGGTTTTGTTGTAGTTAAAGTATTTTTTTTTTTTTTT